GGGGGGGGGTGCGGGGGGAGAAATACCGTACAGGGTTCCCAGGTTTCCCCTTAGCGAGGGGCAAGAGGTACAGTTAAACCCAAATCAAAATAGTAGCTGAAAAATACATGAACGATGTATTGTGAGTGGTCGTGACAGAAATGGACAAACATCAGTCCCCCTCCCCTTAATTCCAATACCTGTGTAGTAATTACGATACATAGCTTACAATAAATAACCACAGTGTACTGATTAAGCAGATGCTTATAATTCCTAATGTACCTGATTGTGATAATTAATTGCAACATTGCAGTAATCCCAGAATTTCATAGCCCCTGAAGTTCTTAAACTCAGCTGATCTGTGGATCTTAAAAGGTTTGCGGTTCATTGGCAGAGTTGTCATGTTCTGGTGCCACAGTTCAGGGTCTGCAAACGAAGGAATGACACTGAAGAATGTGCCTCTGCTTTTAAAAGGAGCTTTATTGCAGCCGTGCTCTGAAAATGAATTTTAAAAAAAATAGCCCCATTCAGAGAACTCCTTGGTGGCTGGGATTCCAGCTTTAGGCTTTTCATTTTAAGCTTGCAAAGATCTCTCTCCCCTCCAGTATGTAGAAGTCGGGTAATTTCAGTTGTCACCAGAGCTTGTCCAATTAATGAATAGGCACGGCCGGGTGTCTAGCGTAAAGGATTGGAACAATTTATTCTTGGGGAAAACACTCCCTTCTACTGCAAAAGCCCTGGCTGCCTTGTTAATTTGTCATGTCAGTCATGCTGGAATAATTATGTTGCAGGAGGCAGGAGTGGGGAGGTGGCCAGTTTTCTAGTTTGGGACACTTCAGGGAGCCCCATGGGGATCCAGGCTGCCTGCGTCTCCTGCTGTTCGCTTCTCTGCAGGCTGCTTCTGCCCTCAAGTCATTGCATAAGTCTGGAAATGGGAACGCAAGCAACAGAGGCAAGGCACTGCAGGGGGGAGCTAGGGGGTCCTGGTGGACACCTCCGTGTCCAGCCTGCAGGTGCTGAGGCAGAGGGAGCTCCAAAGCTCCCGTGGGACCATGCAGAGATTGGCCTGGGCCAGCTCCCAGCCAGCCGCCCCTGCAGCATCGCACCCTGGCAGCGCCTGCCCCCACTGCGCTTTCTGCAGCTCTTCCCGACTGATCCACCCTTACAGCCCTTGGGCTGGCGGCACTTGTACTGACATGTGGGGTGGCAGCATCTATGTTAATTTGTATTGCCTGCACCCGCCCCCAAACTTTTTTATTCCTGAGCAAATAGTGTTACCATCGGCCCGCGGGATACGTCAGCCCTTCTTTTATCCCTACAGACTGGCACCAGCTGCTACCAGGCACCCGGGTGACGCTGGCAGCCCCCCAGGCTGACCTTCCACTTGTGCCCATTGGTACCATCAGAATAATTCACTCTCTCACTCTTTGGAACAGCAAAACCTGCTGCCTCTTGTCATTTAAATCTCACACTTATCTATTTAGCTCAGCGTGATGTGCCGCCTGTCCAGTTCTCCTCAAATTAGGCACTTCTTAAAGTACCACAGTGAGAATGGAAAAATGAAGCTCATCGCTTTCCAGGCCACTCTGACAGTAATATCCTGAGACAGAAAGAAGCTGTCCCATTCTGTGCAGGTCCTTATGCCATGCATTTAGCTGCCAGTGTTTCCTAATCTGCCCCCCTCCTTTCCTCCTCTTCAGCCATGGGAACCCAGGCTCCTGAAGCTGACAGTGCGATCACTCCTGCAGGGGCTCTCATCGCTCTCCATCTCCCTCTAGCACTAAGAACAGGCTGATATCCATCTCTGTTTTCTTTTTCTCTGTTTTGGTTCTATTTTGGGGAATAAAGTGAATAAATGAATGGTGGGATGCTTTTGCTGCATGGTTAAAGCTGTGGTTTCAAATAATTAATTTTAACCACATAGAGGATGTGTGCATGCATTTAGGCCGCTTTTTTTTTTTCCTTCCTAGGGATCTATTTTTTTTTCCCCAGGAATCCTTAGGATTTGTCATCTTGGTAAAAGGGATTAAGATCTGTTGATATTCAACTGGCACTAATGCTTTGTATCTTTCCTCTGTCATCCTTTTTACGCTATGTTTTGTAGCATGTTACCAGCTGGGATGTCTGGGTCAGTTTAAGTAAGAGAAGGTGTAATGAAGCCTGTTAAGGTTTGCCTCAACGCTGGATTCCAGAAACTGTATTTTTAGCATTTCAGCACTGGTCATTCATTCAACGTGTTACTTTAAAAAAAACACTAGTTGAGCACACTGCTGCAAATTACAGGGATGTGAATTAAGGAATGTGGTAGTATTATTTTCTTCTTCTTTCTCAAGTCAGTTGTTTCAGCAGTGAAGATACCAGACTGGTCTTCTGTGCATGGATCTTTCCTGAACATCAGCGAACGCTTGATTCAGTGTCTGTTTAAAACTGTGATGGCCCTCCCACTAATTCCAGTGGTTATCTGGATTAGGGCCTATTAAGGGCTGCTGTTCAAAGGGATGATGTCAGTCACTGAATTGAACAGACTATTAAGTTAGCTTATCATTATTAGTAAACTTACTTATTAAACATAGGTTCAATGTTACGTCACATTGTCTTTTGCTATGTATTTATGCGATGTTTAAATATAAATTATGCTGAATGTAGCACTTATGCTGTGTTTCTTAATTAAAATAAATAATGAAGTTATACAATTGGCTTTTTGGTGTTTCTCACATGCATGAATTTTTGTGAGATTTAGTATATGGAAAGTAATTTCCTCTATTAAAAAGAGGCATGTATATTTTCAAAATACTTTATACCTCACATTTTTTATCAGTCTGTGTGTATGATAGATTGCATGGTTTGGAAGAAATGATACTGAGATTTAGGAATAATTTTTTTTTATTATTACTGGCCCTTGTGTTTGGGAAATAATTTATCTGTGAACTTCGTAAACCAAATATTTTTGTTTTCTTGGCATACTGAATTAAGGCTTTTGCTACTTGAAATTGCTTGTTTGAAAAGAGAATCTAGTTTCTTTGTGCAGATGCAAATAAGAAGGAAGAACAGACTGAAGGACCAAGAAAACAATTTCTATCCTTTAGAAAGAAATGAAAGCCCTCTCTTTCCTTCTAAGTCATGGTGCATGTTTATTCCTTTGAGTTGCAGTCTCTGAGGAAAAATAATCATTATTTGTATTATGACTTTTGAGGTTTTCTTCCTTTTAATGATACTACAGCACAGGAGGAATGCAGGGTAGTGGAAGTGAAGATGTCCTGTAGATAGAATGCTGAAATAAGACCTCTCTGCTTGTTGTTCCTTTTGCAAATGCAGATAATCATGGCATGGGGATTATACTGTTTATCTAGAAAGAGGATAATAGTTGTTGGTATGATGTCCAAAATTTCCTTCCTGGGTAATAATACCACCAAAGATCAATTAGCATCAGTGTTCTCAGGTGGATGTTGTTGATCCCATAATGGCTGCCACCTTTGCTTACATAGTCATTTGTATAAACCATGAGCAATTTTTTGGAGCAATTTTTTTGTGATTCTAGATATTAGCAATCAATTTCAAGAAGAAAAACAGGATGCTGTTTTCAAACCTGTGCAGGATACTTCATTTAAATAAGAAAATGCTACTGTCTTGGCCATTGATTAAGAAGGTTTCTATGTACATTTTCTGTTAATCCATCAACAAAATGATTTATAAAACCTGCATGTTCAACATCTTTGTGGCTTCCTATGAGTTGATATATTACCTCTTATTGTTTTGACTTGTGGGAACTAATACGGAGGAAATTCATGCAATCCCTACAGCTCTTTTATTTTTTGGAAGTATTTTCATCCTTTGTCATCATCCTCAAATCACATAGGGGCAGGTCCCTTTTATGATGTAACTTCTTTGGCCTGTTTGGCAGCGCACAGGGTTCATAAATGATGTATCATGAACAACTAAGTATAAAAAAATCCTGTCTATCAAGGAATTCCACTGTGTATTGAGCATCTGATGTAGCATCTCCTGGCACTGAGGACTAGGGGTGTATTTGGAGCACAGTTGCACTCCATTTTCTGTCTTGCTGCTTCTGCAGTCTCTGAGCTCTGATTACCTGGCATAACACGGAGTTGTCCTACAGGAACTCTAAATTATGCCAGGGCTTGAATTATCTGTTGAATGATGATCTGTAAGGTCTGATAACTCTTCTTCACTTAGAACCTGAGATAATGCAAGCTAAAGTAGTCTTGTAGAAGAGAAGAGTATCAAGGCTCTAATGGCCATTACTAACTAACAGTGAATGGTTCATTGTTATGTTTGGACAAAAATATTGAAACCAAGTTAATTGGTCTCAAATAGTATTACAGAAATAGCTTTTTCTGGCACTTTTAAGAAATGCAATATCCTAGGGGAAGGAATTATTCATAGCACAGATATATACATATATATATATATATATGAGAGAAAGTAATCACTAGGCATATAGGAAGGTATAACATGCAGCCTGGTGCATCTGTAACCGAGAGCTTTTGGCATCCAGTCCATTATAGTATTCTTTCCTGCTTTGTCCCATCTCCACAGCTTCATGTGTGTGGGCAAACCTTCATGCCTGCATGGAGTTTGTTGATGTTACTGAAAATCCACATGGATTCAGTCCTCCTGCTCACACTCAAACACAGGATGGAGGCCATATGTTGGATCCAAAGACTCTCAGTTCCTTAGCACTTGAATGCTTTCTCACTTCAGAGATGTTGCTGCCTTTCCGAAAGGTGTGAAGATGTTTCTGCTTTAAAATTCTATGGAAATAGCCTTGTAGTTGCCTATAAATGTCTGCTTTACTTTTTTTTTTTGTGTCCTGTATTTTTCATCATTCTATTTTTATTGTTAGTTTTACAGCTAGAGCGTGACCAGATAGGCACTAAAGTGCCAAAACAACACACATATTTTTAGCTTATGTAAAGGTAGTGGAAGGGAACGTTTATGAATAGTT